CTGTTATAACAACTTAAAAAAGATTCTTATTTTTTAACATTTCTTCAATTTTTCAAATTGTGAGTACTAGTGGCCCATATGCCCCAAACTAGATCCCCATATGCCCCTCTACCAGTCATTTCTAACTCAGCCCTAATTCAAAGAATGAAAAATATGATTTTATGGGATCAAGAAAACATATTACAAATAACATCATTTAAAATTATTCTAATAAAATAACATACATAATTTAATTAAATCTTGACATATTACTAAATTAAAATACTACAGAAAAATAATAGCCATATATGTACTTAACTATATATTTAGTTCATATTATATGTATGCATATTTGAATAGATTAAATTGCTGTTATTTAGAATGACTATGGCTTAACTGCCTCTTTTTAGCTTCAGTTGAAATTTTTTTTCTATGATACTCAACTACTTGGTAAAGAAGCTGACGCTGATTGTCATATTTTGTCAAAACTTCATTAAAGTCAGTGGCTAATTTAACTGCCCGTTCTGCACAGTCATTAACCATTTTCATGGCACTAACAATCTTACAAGCAGCCTTGTAGTCATCACGATTAGCCCAAGATTTAGGAGACAATGTCAAGAATTCTTTTGGTAGATTGAGAGAGTCAAACAAATTCATTGAGCATCGTGTAAAAAAGTTAGCTATAGAAAGTTTAGAGAATGTATAAATCTTGTTTGAAGCAAGTCTTCTATTGTCACCTGGTAATGGTTCTTTTTGTAAGGCATTCACAATTTCCATTTTCTCTTTAAAAGAAATTTATTTAAAATTAATGGGAGAGCAGCTAGATCTTCACTTATACCATAATACCATAATTGAAGTTTAATTTTATTTTTTGCAACATTTGCAACTTTGCTGTCAACTTGACAATAGTTCTCGATTACTTTTAAAAGAAGGAGATCATTTTTTGGTGCTTCTGTTGTGAGAGGTGCTGAAAACCAGAAACATACATAAATTGTGGTTATGAAGAGACAAATTCTTCTTAAAATCCCGATTTCTTTATATGTGACATTTAATTGATGGCGAAAACCAAAAATTTTTAAACAGTATATTCTTTTAGCCATCCATCTTGCATGATGGTATGCCCCAGGAATGCGAATACTTGTTGTATCATTAATTTCTCCCAAAAGGAGAAGAACTAGTTGCCCAAACTCTTTATAATCATCACGTGGTTGAGTGTCCTTTAAGTTTTTTTTTTAATTTTTAACCACATCGGATTTTCGAGATGCAAGCCACTCTTTTTCAAGCTTTGTAAGGCATCCAGTTCCGCTTGTATCACTTTTAAGTGGTTCAAACTTTGATTTTTTTATTAACTCCCACTGGGACTTCACTCTACCAAAGAGTTCAATGTTTGGTCCTTTTGATACAAAAAACGTATCAAACACTGCATTTGCACAGATTTCAAGAAAATGATGTCGACAGGCTAAAAACAAAACTCTTCGGTTCTTTGACTTCTGTATGACAGTTATTGCCCCATTATAACTTCCTGTATTACTTGCAGTTGTGTCAAAGCAAAGACCTGCAAGATGCTCCTTGACGCCAGGCCATTTATAAATGAACTCAACTACCTTCTGTCCCATCAGAGCACCAGTACCAGCAGGTATTTCAGGGATCCCTAGTAATTTCTCAATATCCAAGCCAGATACAACAATTGGCAGACATTCACGTCTGGTTCTATCAACATATGACAACATTTTACCATCAAAATGAGCAACTAGCGGAACAAAGGGTTGAAAATCTTTTCTTACTGCTGTTGAAAGAGATTTGCGAGATGTAGTTTGAGCTTCTATTAGAGTGGAACGTGATAATGTTAATTTATTTACATCAATACCGATTGCAGCTAGGGCTGGTGTGACAACCATCATTGCTTGTCGTGGTGTTATTTATGTTTGGTCTAATGCTGCATGAAAGAGTTGATTATCAAGAATACAACGTTTGGATACTGTAATTGAGAGTTGACTAGTACCCATAGTAGAATGTTTTAAAATTTTTTGACAATTAAAAACTTTTTGTATTTGAATTGACGCATCACAGTCAGAATTTTCATTCAAAGAGTAATCTGAATTGTCATCCATTAATGTTTCTGTAGATTTAACTTTACTTTCTTTATATTGTTCATAGCGTCTTTTTTCTTCAAGCTTGCGTTTTCTGTACTTTACAACTGCTTTCTTATACATTCTTTCTTATAGGTCTTCCGATGTCATTAACATATTTCTGGGGCCTCTCTTATCTATCAGAAATTGTTTATCTTTGTTTATCTTCAATCCCATTCACTATAGGCAATATCAAAAAGTGTAGACATCTTGGTGGTGAATTTTTCTTCATAGCTGTGTTGAGTAGCTGATTTTCTACTTCTGTGCTTAGACACTTGAACATGTTGCTTGTGAATACTCTTTAGTTTAACAACTACATAGCCTTAAGCCAGAAAATCATAACTTCATCTGCAACTGTGTTGCAGTATGTTGAAAGAGTTGACTTTTTGACT